ACAACTCATAATGACTGTGGATCAATATTAGCATGAAAGAGATCCGAAAGACAGTGGGGTATCAGATACGAGAGAGGGCAGTCAGATGGATTTGTAGCATGGATCTGAACTTCCCTGTACTTTCTACAATTAAGACGGAGAGAGAGAGAGAGAGAGAGAGAGAGAGAGAGAGAGAGAAACTGAGCAAGACCAGTTAGTAAACAGGGTTTTGCTTTGGTTTTTTCCATTCTGTTTGTTGCTATTTAGTCAGTGCGTCTCTGGCTAGTGTCTGCTGGCAGCCAAGCATTAGTTGGCAGAGGCCAGAAGTGAGAAACATTTGTGGAAGAAAAATTGAAATTGGGAAAGTTCTGGACATCAATTTTACTTTTGCTCTGAAAACTGGTCAAAGGCTGCCTTTTCTTACTTTTATGCCAGAACACACCTCAGCACCCACCTTGGGACCTGGGAGTAGAGTGTGGAAACCATGGTGTTTGGAGATACAAACTTTTTTTAATAACTTGCATTCAATCCAGTCAAGGGACAGCACTTCTGGCCAGGATCCTTTGTGCACAATATACACCCAGATCTCTCCCACAAGACAAGTGGTGAGAGCCCAGTAACACCGGGCAGCAGGTGACCTAGCTGAGTTCCTCTGCAGTCAGAAGTGCCACAGCTCCCAAGCGTCCCAGGGCAGGCTCTGGGGACCCTGCCACTGCTCAAACAAGAGGTTCTGAGGAAGCATCCCTGAAACTCTTCTGTGGCCAGAGCAGTCATGGTCAAGAGGCCCTGCTTTAACAACTTTCCAAAGCAAACTTGCGCACAGCTTGGCTCTGGGTTTTGCAGGGCTCTGATGTGTGTACTGCAGGGGGCCTGGAACAGATGGACAGAAAAACCCTGGCTTGGCGGCAGGGGGGCCCTTGGCCCATGGCCTCAGGGATGCAGGGGGCCATCCACACAGGCAAGTTCTTGGTCAGGCTGAGCCCTTCCAAGGCAACTGCCCCATCTGCTTCTCGGATTTTTAAATCTGGACTCTGCCCACATTCACAGAACCTGTGCAAACCGGCATCTTGTCAGAAAATGCTTTGGGGGCTGAGAGTCATGTTACTGAATGAGCTGCTTCTCTGTGTCTTTGTTTTCTCATCTATAAAATGGGGATAATAAGCATTTGTTACCTCACAGGGTTGTTGTGAGGACTGAATGAGCTATTTTATGTAACATACACAGACCACTGAGAGGTGGCGTTTCCCAAATATTATTCATTCCCATAGCACTGTCCTAAACTTCTTGCTGTTTTCATTATCATACATTTAGTATTTTTCTTTAAGCTGACTCACTTTCTTTCTGCTTAAACTTATTTTAAAAGGAAACTGTACATCACTGTGGTAAATGGAAAAATAGTAGAAGGCAGATATAAAAACAAATACAATGGAAGAAAACAATGTAGTTAATTGAGCTGGAGTCTGTTGCCTGCCAAAGGCGTTGATCCTGGGCCTTCCTCTGTCTTTGCTAAGATGCATGATTAGAGGGTGTTAAGGGCCTAATGGCCATGTGGAGACTTTCTCTTTCAGGTCATTGTCAGTGATGGAAGAGCTGAAAGGCGAGTGGCCTTCTCCCTGCAGAACTATTTATTGGATGTCCAGTCTCTGTCTCTCTAAAACCTCACTAAGCACACAGATCACACAGAAGATCATCCTGCTTTCTGCCACTCTGGGAGAGACTGTTCTAGATCATCACCATACAACAGAGCTTCCTGAGATGATGGAAATGTGCTGTATCCACGTTGTCCAATACGGCAGCCACCAGCCACATGTGGCTAAGAAGTACTTGAAATGTGGCTGGTGTGCCTGAGGAACTAGAGTTTAATTTCTTCCCATTTTGATTAAGTCAAATTTAAACGATGCCACCAATTGTGGCAGTGGTTAAGAATCCTCCTGCCAATGCAGGGGACACAGGTTTGAGCCCTGGTCCAGGAAGATCCCACATGCCGCGGAGCAACTAAGCCCGTGCGCCACAACTACTGAAGCCCGTGCACCTAGAGCCCATGTTCCACAACAAAGAGTATCTCCTGCTTGCAGCAACTAGAGAAAGCCCACGTGCAGCAGCGAAGACCCAACACAGCCAAAAAAAAAAAAAACAAGACAAAAAAAAACATTTAAATGACCACACGTGGCTAGTGGCTGTCGGACTGGACAGTGCAGATCTACTGAGAAAGCTACATGTGCTGATCCTTTTGTCTGGGCTCTTCAAAGGAACTATGGTTCATTTTGAGGTTATGCCCTTGGCTTCCTTGGAGGGAGAGCTTAAGGAAACCTGACAGTGATTTGTCCTAGGGATGTAACAGGGCATCATCTACCACATTCTTTATTATTGCTTCATCTAAAGCTCTGTGAGGACATTTCTTTCAGAACTCCCTTTGAGGAACTGACATATTTTCTTCTCATTAGCAATGGAATTACCCAAAATAGCCACATTTCCATTTTCACACTGGTTGCCAGGAAGCTCAAAGGAAACTTACAAACCAATGAGAGCAACCACATAGGATCTCATATACATGTATGTATGTATATATATGATTTCCACTGTTCCCTTAATGGAAACACTCTTAGTTTACATCTTCTCTGACTCTTGATATTTTATTTCTTACTTCTATTTTATCACTCTTTTCTGAGTTTCTCTAGAAATTATCTCAAATCTTTTGTGGAATTACATAAAATGCATTTTTTTTAACTAATAAAAATAATGTCCAAGAGTACCAGTATTTTACAGGAGTCACTCTCCAATATCATTTATCATTTAAAAAACAACAAAAACCAAAAAAATCACACTGTAATGAAGACTTTCTAAAATGCTTCCAAACACATGCTCAGAGTTTGCTCTTAGGTACCAACCAGAAGCGTTGTTAGCTAAAAGGAGAAAAACAGTTGCATTCAACACACTCCAAGATCAGGAGAGATTTCAGACAGCCCACAGTGTGGGACGCAGCTGCTCTACATGATGTGGGAGCTGTCAGCCTCATGGCTCCATGAAATCCAGGCCTTATCCTCCACGCACTGGCTGGACCACACCCAGGAAAGCTCTGGAAATGGTCAAGGATGGGGAGAGTGTGGCTCGAATCCCACGGTGGCCACTGTGGAAACAATCTCCCAGGCAACTGCATATTTGCTGTGTCCATCTCATTCCTTAACTGGCTTTCAGGAGCTAAAAATGGCCCTTGCTTCCTGGGGTGAGGGGAGGGAGAGGAGTGAAAAATGAAAGGTCAAGGAAACCTCTCAAGCGATCTCGCATTTTAATTTTGCTCTAAAATAAAGCTGTCTGCTTCACTTTTTTCATTCTCCAGGCAACACCTCCCAGCTTTCTGATGACCGCAAAGCAGAACTTGAAGGATGCTCAAATAAGAGATTTGGGGGGGGGGGTTTGGTTTTGGATAAAAGGAGAAAAGGATATTCGGAAATCTGTCATATCTAATTCTCTTTTCAAGCCAGAGCTGAGAGCATCAGGAACACTCAGATTCTCTTCTTAAAGTGCTACTGTCGCCCAGATGAACAAGTAAACTAGAATAACTTTCCAGTGCAAACTTCCTTGCCAAACTCTAGCTCATTTGTCCGTAAGATTTCAGGTAAGAGGCGTGTATCATGCTTAAGCCCATTATATAACCCATGCCCACTGCCAGTCCTGCCATCAAAGACTAAACACGGCGATCATTTTGGAAGATGAGAAACGAATACCAAGTGCCTACTGGACACCATGTATTTCTAATCCCAATAACAACAGCTTTGCAAAGTAAGCATTATTATTATTTCTGTTTTACAGATAAGGAAACTGAGATTTACCTAAGGCCACAAAACTGAAACCAGGGCTTCTATCCTCAAGCTCAAGGGTCCTTTTTGCAACACCCCAGTCTCTGGGGAAACTATCCTAATAGCTGAGAAGACTTCTTCAATGGTCAATTCCCCACTAAGAAAAATGGCAACAGAACTCAAGGCTCTTCACGGAGCTCATGGGGAATCAGAACAAAGTGTAGTGAAAGTTGTTGTGATAATTCAACAGCAGAACCAGAAGTGGCTAAGAGTCAAAGCTGAAGACAAAACAGTCCCAGGACAAGTGGACGCCAACAGCTGCAGATCAGGTAAGAAAAAGAAAGAGAAACAAGAAAGCCAAGAAGAGGATAGGTAGGCAGGGCTGGAAGAGGCATCAGAAAATCAGAGAAAAGATGGACAACTGGGGTCCCAACTGTTGGGGCAAAATCACCTCCAAAACAAAGGTCCCCTGGGTTTCAGACACTCAATCCTCAGCTGGGGAGGGGGTGATCAGCTCTACCTCAAGCAAGCAGAGGGCACATCTGCAGTGTCCACTTGCCAAGTGGCTGTTGCCCCTTCTTTGGCAAAGAGTGGCCTGGTTTTCATCTGGGGAGCCCCCTCACCCTCTCTCAGTCACATGGTCAGATGAGGGAAACTCCAACCCCAGTGCCAGTGGGGGTCACATGATTCGAAGCTGGCCCATCACAGGAGTCCATCTCCCAACACTGGGGTTTAGGGATGGGCTTGGGATCCAAGACAGACTCCTGAGAGATGCCCAGACAGGCTGAGAGTCTGGTGCTGCTGGGAGCTGCCTGGTCCACCCACAGAGGGCGCCAGCCTGAAAAGGACGCCCAAGCAGAGGAAACCAGGGGAAATGGGAGCAGATGTCTGACCACAGGTCCAGGCAGGTCTGAGGCCAGACCAACGCCTGGACGTTTCAGTTGCAACACGAGCCAACAAATCCCATTCCTGCTCAAGCAGTCCGAGCTGAGCGGTCATGGCCACGCTAGGAGGCCCGACAGCACGAGAAAGCTCCACCCGGCCTCCTTCTGTCTGACAGAAGGATCATTTCCTCGGGGAGGCTGGGCAGGTGGATGCTGTCATCTGGAGGCTGTGGCCTCTACGTATGGCACCCCATCGCCAAGAGGCAAAAGCACCAGAGAGTAACAAACAAGTGTGGTCCCCACCCCAGCGGTGACATCTAACTGAAAACCAGGTGATTACCTGATACACGTGGAATGCATTGGTGGCTTTGCCCCGGAGAAACACTGACGGGATCCAGACGTTGATCAGCGCTCGGTTTGATCTGAACAAAAGAAAGATGCAGAGAGGTCATTTCAATTTGCCAAAAACAGGGAGGAAGCTATTTTCTCCCCTACGAGGCACACGATGTACGGCAACATCTATTACACTTAACTGTAAGCTAAAGGATCAGTTTCCATCTCATTACTTGGTCCCCCAAGATTATTTTTCAGGGACTTAGTTTAAAAAAAAAAAAAATATATATATATATATATATATATATATAATTTATATATGCAGTTTGTATTCTGGAATGAGAAAGAGCTGCCCCTTCAGTCCTTACTAACTGAGTGACCGTGGCCCATAGTTTATCTGAACCTCAGTTTGCTCATCTGAAGAGGGCGAAGATCACCGGAAGCCCCCACGAGGCGGGGGAGGGTCAAGAGCACACCCACAGGGCTTCTGGAGCGTTTGGAGGAGTCACGCTGCCTCCTCACCGTGCCCACTTTAGACCCTGAGCCCCACTTTAAGGTCAGGCTCCACGGAAGAGCTCAGGAGGCCAACACTCAGGCTATGCAAGAGACAGCTCTTTGGGGTGGGGAGAGGGGATTCCAGGAAGCCAGGCACCAATAACCGCTCTTGCAACTCTTCCAAAAACACTGTGTGTGGCTTGAATAGAGCAAAATCACTTACTGAGTACATACACTGCACGGCTCTGTGCTGTCACCTAGATTATCTCGGTTGATCCTCGCCGGCTATTTGAGAGAACTTCAAGGGTTCTTTCAGTTATGTGACAGTTCCGCCTTGCGAGATGACTTGAACCTAACTCTGAGTCACTGGGCGCACACACCCACCACCACCACTCTTCCACCAGCTGGATCTACATCATGTGAAGCTGATAAGTGTCACTGAAACTTCCAGATCAATCATTAACAGCTCTCACAGCAGTGCTGTGCAATTCTGGAAGGGCTGGGAGGTCCTAGCCCTTGTTTCTGCTAGGAGTTGCTCCAGGGCTAAGCGCTTTTCCTGGAGCTCTCCTTATCTCTAAAGAGCAGCTCTTAAAAATTCGCCAGCCTCCTGTGCTTAGAACACAGTTTGAGACACTGATGATGGAAGAGTCCATGACTCAACAGCCTCACAATCTCCACAGTAAAGAGCATTTCATTTTCACAAAGCAATGCTTCTCTCCTGAAGCAGCATTTCTTCTAAGCTCTGAGCCCAGGTGCTGACCGCCTTCATGGGGCAAAATACACCCTATTGATCACCTCCCCAGGGCTCCAAGTACAAGCTGCCATTCTGAGGCACCAAACTGATTTGGATATCTAGTGACACCCCTCCTGGAAAGGTCCCCAAAACTGTGCTAGTGACTAGAGTGTTCCCCTTTCATTTCTGTCGGGAGCGGGAGGGGTGTAGAAGTGTAACTGACATTCTGGTTTTCATTAACCTCCCAGGATTGGTGAGGGCTGGACCACCTCCCAGGGCTCCAGGAGGTCCCCCAGGTCCCCCCGAACATGCTCTCCCTTTCAGAGCACATAGCTCGCTGTATTAGAATTGATTGTCCTCTCTCTCCTAGACCCAGAAGTGTGAGTTAAGGGAATAAAATAATGATCCCGAGTATGGAAGACCAAATAAGTTGGAGGAGTCAAATCTACCAGGGCAGTTGGTATGAAGGGAGGGCCGGGGGAGGCTGGGGATGGAGCTGAGGTCAGCCAGGGCCTTCTCTGCAAGAGAAGAGGGAGAGGGAAATGGCGCTTCCCTCTGGCTTTAGTGGAGATGATCAACCTGGGGGGGAGGAGGAGAAGATATGAGGTGGCTGGACCCAGCAGAGGTTGCCTGAGAGCAGGGACCATGGCTGATTCATCCCCTCCACCGAGGACCTGGCACGACCCCTCCCTGCAGCAGGCACGAGATAAATTCTTGCTTTATGAATGAGTCCCTTGCGCCTCACGAGTGGCTCGTCTCTGGGGTCCCCTCTGCGGCTTTCACCTCTCTCCTCAGCTGGTCCCCCCTTTCCCTCCGCCAGGCCACCATCCCATGATCCTCTTCACTATGTACTCCCCTCCACCCCGCCCCGCAAAGGCCCATGCGAAGCACACTCGTCTTTGATTTTCATCCTTCACCTCTTAACTTCCATGACCCCCCTCACCAATCTAACAGGCACCTCTACCTCTACCGCCGCTGCCAAGCACTGCGGGGCCTCTTGATCCCCTCCGTGCTTTTCATAACCCCACTCTTGTGATCTGCGCCTTATGAATGAGGAAACTCAGGCTCAGAGAGGTTAAGTGGCTCGCCCAAGGTCACACCAGCATTGAGTCCCGCAGTTAAGATTTCAACTTGGCTCAGCCTGGCTCTAACAAAATGCTCTTCCGATGCCCCGCTCTCTCTCCTGGGGAAGCTGAACCTTCCTCTACTCAGCACAACTAAATGAGAGAGAAGGGAGGTTCTGCTTGTCCTTAACTCAGGACTCACTCCTCTCTTCCCCAGCCCCAGGGGATTACTGGTCCAAAAAGTGAGGCAACTTGATCAGAAAGAGTCAGTCTGAAGACCAACTAAATTCCTTAGGGGTTACCAGCAGAGGCGCCAGACAGAATTAAATCCAATCAAAAATCAGACCAACGTACTGAACTACTGTCGTTTCCAATAGCCCAGGGGTTGCAAACTCAAAATTGGAACGGGAGACACCCAGACAGTGGAATGAGTGGAGTGGGCCGCCGTCAGACAGAAGGGAGAAGTGGGGCCTGTGGCGAGCTGGCGAGCACGCGCCCTGGATGGAAGCAGCGGCTGCTCAGCTCCAGCGGATGGCGGCCGTGCTGGGGTTTCTTCTTTTAAAGAAGATGGAGAAATTTAAATTTTCATGAGGTACCTTCCAACTCTTAAATGTCAGCCAAAAAAAAATTTGTTTTTCAATACTCAAAGAGGGAGCTAAAAACACATCTGAAGGCCAGACTCAGGCTGCGGGCAAACAACTCCCCACCTCTACAATAACCAAATCCGTCATGCGGATTTCAACAGCGGTTGCTGGTTCCCTGTATGGTCTCCTGGGACGCAAGCCAAGTAACAGAGTCCTGCTTCTAAAGGGCCCCTCATGAGCAGATGCTGTGGACTTACGTTTCAAAATCCGACAAACTCTGGTCTTCGGATGTTTGACTCAAATCTCCGGGCACCTGCCATAGGGAGAGGGGGAAGGGGAGAGAGAAAATGCATCATGGTTACCATGGTTTGCATAAGCACAGGAAATTCTGCTTCTCAATGACCCCTGAGCATTTCCTGTGCAGAATGAGGTGAAGAAGCAGTTACTGGAAAACAATAAGAGATTTTATGGAAGGATGGTTAAAGACGGAGTTACAGTAATAAAAATATGCCACCATGAAAGACCTCAATTACTTTCACAGAAAAAAAGGACTGTTAATCCTACTGAGATCATCATGGGTGTGTAAAAGTATGTAATTTTGGAGCTACAGAGGCCTAATTAGGAGCTGAGAGGCAAGGTATCAAATGTGCAAAGGCAAAAATATGCATCATCACGCACAGACACACGTGGTGTGTAAACACAAAGGGAAATGTCTGTCCCCCAAATGGCTCTATCCTTTCCCCTCACATGTGTGAGCAATTTAAGGCAGCCGAACATGACTTTCTCTTCTGACTCAGAAGGGCCCCATGAGAAGAGGATTGGGTGCAAGAAACTATAACGCCTGGTGGGATGGCAATTCTCATCCAGAGCAGACAGCGAATGGCCAGCACTTGTAGATGCTCAATAAATCGTGATGTTATCGGGCCCTGGGAATGAGCTTCCTTTTGTAATAGGAGAGAACTTAAGACTGTGGATCTAAACTAAGAAGAACCAAGAGGGATAGAGAAGGGTGCGGGGTGACGAGGGAAAGTTTCACACTGTGCACCTGTCGGGGCATTCTCCTTATCCTCAATCTTCATCAATCGTGATAAGGATCCGGGGGTGGGTAATGCTTCCTGCCCCCCAGATGAGGGAACTGAGGATCACAGAGGCTGAACTTGTCCAAGGCCACACATGCAGGAAAGGGATACGAATCCAGGTCTGTCCGGGCTTTTCTGCAACAAACCCTTAGCAAACAGAGGAAAAGCCAGCTCAAAGGTGATAGGAGAAGGTGAGAGTTGGCAAAGTCTTGCCTGAACAGAGGATAAGAAGACACTAGAAGGTAGTCCTTAGAGAAACAGCAGGCTCCTTTTGGAGGCAGGAGGACACAGTGGTTATGCAGCCTGGGCTCTGGGACCACACGGCTCAGGATCCAATCCCGAGCTCCTGTGTGGCCGCGAGCAAGTCACTTGACTTCTCTGCATCACACTGTCCTTGTCTGTAAAATGGGTATGTATAATACTAATACGCACAGGGTTGTTCTGAGAACGAGAGGAGTTGATACGTGTAGAGCATGTGGAACAGTGCCAGGCAGGTAGAAGGGTCTCCTTGACTGACCTGTGCGCTATAATAATATGACAACTATTGAGAAGCTGTCTGTTATCCTTGACACCATACACGAATCTGCCCACCACCTGGGGTTGTCTCACCCCATACGTGGCAGCCCTGAGGGAGAATGGCCCAAGCTGAGCCCTTTCCAGGTCCCTGGAACTAAGAAATTCAATTGGGCTCCGGGCTGCAGGCTTTGTTAAGGAGCTGCTGTTGAGAGACTCTTTCAAGCCCAACAAGGAGAAACCCGCCTAACAGCTTGAGAGAACATCAGTTTCAAAAGATCAGGAACTCCCTGGGCTGGGGGTCGGGGTGGCCCTGCTGTTAGAGGGACTGTTATTTTCCTCTGGGCGGCTGTGGTGAGAGCTGGTACAACCTATCAGGGGAAGCCACGAGGCTGTGTGTACTGAGATCCCTAAAGACACCTACATCCTTTGACCCAGAAATCACAGTCCTCTGCTATCCAGAGGAAACAAAGACGCCAACCAAAAGGATCTAAAGGTCCAACTAGAGAGGAATGATTCAAGAAATTATGACATGTCCGTATGAGATGCCTGGTTTAAAACGAAACGAGTTACACACACACACACTCATGAAGGTATGAGCACAAAAATAATTCTGGAAAAGGATCTAAGAAAATAACAGTGGCTATCGTTGATAACAGATAATGAGTGGGACTGGGGAGAGAAATGACACTTAGTTTTCATTTGCTATCTTTCTGGAAGATTAAAAAAATTTATCTTTTGAGTGAATTGCTTTAAAAGACTGTAAATGTGCTTTTGAAGAATGAGATAGCGTTCCATGTGCAGTTATGAAAACACCTCCAAGATGGACCACCACGCGAAGGCGAAGGTAGGGTACGGACGGTGGGTCTAATACGGCACCCTGGCTGAGAAAACAGAGAATGAAAAATATCAGGTTGTATTTGTTTGTTTTTGCATCAAGAAGGTAGAGAAGTGAAGTTCAAGGCACCAATCAAAGGGGCGCCAGCCTGCGGGCGCCGGGGCGGGGGTGGGGCCCAGGCAGCGGGGTGGGAGGAGGCTGTTTAGTCAACACTCTTTTGTATGGTTCGAGTTTCGAAATAATCTAATACTAACAATTAAAAATGTAAACTAGAATGCATTATCCCACCAAAAGAGTGCTTTTGATAAATTTCTAATGGCATAGAAAAAAAAGCTCCTGGTCTCTGTTTAATAAAAAGCCGCTATGGGGAATTCCCCGGTGGTCCAGTGGTTAGGGCTCAGCGCTTTCACTGCCGAGGGCCTGGGTTCAATCCCTGGTTGGGAAACTAGGATCCTGCAAGCCACAGGGCACGACCAAAAAAAAATTTAAAAAGAAAAAAAAAGCTGCTACGGACTGCAAATGCCTAGTGCGAGTCCTGAATACAACTCATAATGACTGTGGATCAATATTAGCATGAAAGAGATCCGAAAGACAGTGGGGTATCAGATACGAGAGAGGGCAGTCAGATGGATTTGTAGCATGGATCTGAACTTCCCTGTACTTTCTACAATTAAGACGCATGAATCGTGTAAATACTAACAGATACATATTATACTGTATACATACACATACTAATATACATGAATCGTGTAAATACTAACAGATACATATTATACTGTATACATACACATACTAATATATACCTACATTAATTATATACATAATATATTCAGTGTGTATCGCATTACTGCGTAAAGTGAATAAGACAGTCTTTCCAATCCTCCCCCGCAGGATGGGAGAGGCTGTGCCCTCAGGTCCTCTATTCATGGGGGATGAACGAGGGCTAAGGCTCGCTCTGAAGCGCCCCCTTCCAAACACCAGTCTCCCCTCAGCGCTTCCACGTGGAACCCAGGGCCTTCTCTGGTGGGGCTGCAGGGTGGCTCTCCACCTCTCTTCTCCGAGCTTTCCCTCAGCACCTGAGCCTGGGGAGGGTTCTCTGGCACAACGTGAGGATCAGGTAAGCAGATCGGAGGAAGGACCCACAGACTGTGAAGGCACGAGCGGCATCATTACACTGCCTTTAAATGCAGGCTCTTCTCAAACGGGATGTGAACAGAGCTTGGGCCTGGGGAACCTCATTCCCAAGAAGCAAGGTTCTGACTGTCTGCCCCACCAGGCTGAGGGGAAGGGTGACCAGAAGCAAAAGGTGAGGTTTTTAAGGACAGATGTCACTCTACAATGATATGAACAAAGAGCTTCTGAAAACAATCCATTTTTAAAAGAAAGTTTCTTCCTGACAGATAAATTTCCCTTCAGGGATGCTTATTTGTAGGGGGACCCTCTTGGACAATGGATGTTAAGTATCTGGGAGTTGTTAAATCCTCCCAACTCAGGAGTTTTTCTTCTTTTTTCAAAAAATTTTTCCTTTTTAAAAAAATTTTTTTCTTTTTAAAATTTTATTTTTATTTATTTTTATTTTTGGCTGCATTGGGTCTTTGGTGCTGTGTGTGGGCTTTTCTCTAGTTGCAGCGAGCAGGGGCTACTCTTCGTTGTGGTGCGCAGGCTTCTCATTGCAGTGGCTTCTCTTGTTGCAGAGCACGGGCTCTAGGTACATGGGCTTCAGTAGTTGTGGCACGTGGGCTCAGCAGTTGTGGCTCACAGGCTCTAGAGCGCAGGCTCAGTAGTTGTGGCTCACGGGCTTAACTGCTCCGCGGCATGTGGTATCTTTCTGGACGAGGGCTCAAACCCGTTTCCCTTGCCCTGGTAGGCAGATTCTTAACCACTGTGCCACCCGGGAAGCCCCCAGGAGTTTTTCTTCTGATTACTGGCATTATTGGCATCAGCAAGCCAGGAGACATTTATGTGTCCACCTGAGTTCAGGGAGGCTGGCTGGAAAAAGAGTCCATGAACTTTCTGACCTCGGTGCAATAGATCTTAAAAATCAGGCCAGGCTCTACAGCAACTGCAGTATGATAACTGATGGCCAAACTTATTAAACATCTTAACATGCTCTCTTTTCATTCTGTCTACCCAGACTGGAGCTAGATAGCATCTGGGGTTTACAGTAAGCATCCAGAAAGCTGATTTGACTTCATATTCTGGCAGTGAAAGACTTGTGGGGTAGAGATTTTGTAAGAAAAATCAACTGGCCACAAACATCTCTCGTGCCTTCCTGAACCCCTGGGGAGTCCTGGAGGACACATCTCTGCAATGGAGGCTTCTTTCTGATTCCCTCCAACATGGAGCACAAGTAAGTGTGGTTGTCCTCATTTGCTTCTCCCTGGCCCTGCAGAGAAGGAGGCTCATCATCTGGCCTGCAGTCTGGGGGTTCGGGGGTCAGTATGTGAGTGCAGAGAAAGGCAGAGCCCATGGCTGGAGAAACAGAGCAGCCAGGATTTCTGGGTCTTTCGGTAGCAAACACCCCAGGCGCTGCATACACAAGGATGTGGAGGGACAGGCGAGACCCACAATCAGAATCCTTTTCCATCTCTGGGTACACAAGTCAGCCTCCACTGATCATGAAAGAAGTCACATGGCTCTCTGAAGGTCCTGCTAGAAAGCAACAAAGATGGAGGGCAGAGGGTGCCAATGTGCGTTGAACATCTACTATGCACGCCAATGTATTTGCACATTATTAATCCTCAAATAAATACTGTGAAGGATGTACTATCACAAGTCATGCTTCCCTCCTTTCTTCCCCCAGCCTCTTTGCATGGCTGGCTCTTTTCACATCTTTTCAGATTCAGCTAAAAGATGACGTCCTATGAGATACCTTCCTTGATC